CATATGAATAGCTAAGAGTGAAGAAAAAGGAACAGGCCCTAGAATGTTCATAAAGGGTAGCTGATGCCTCAGACTTGACATTAATAGCTAAGTTTGATTCTAGCTGACGTACTTCTATTATTCTTGTCACGCTGACCTAAAGTCAATAGCAGGCACCAAAAGATCTTCTATATTATACCTGCCATTTGATGTCTGTGTATTTTAGAATAAAATTTTTTGATTGCTTGTCTGAAACAATATATATACATGTCAAGTCCTTATGTTTCTGAGCCCTGTTTAAAATCTGTAAAGAACTCTAGGATTTCTGGAGTTAAAAGAAGTAATAAAGTCGCTAACGACAAAGATGGGGAAATGAGCATGAAAAAATGAAATTGGATTGTGTTTCCCAGGCAGAACCAGATGATGTGGTCTATGGAGTCTACCAAGCTGGCTCATGGCCCCTTATTATATCTCATTTGGCTGTCTGCATTAATAAATTTGACCGAATAAGCCCTTATTTTCTACTTCACTTTTACTGTGTGCATAGTTATATTTTTTTTTGCATTTGAGATGTGAAAACTGAAGTTACTATTTATTTTGTTTCTTTTCAGAACATTTTGGCTACCATCCAGATTAAAAAGCTGTGTCTACTATTTATAAACACATATACATACTAAAATGCTTGTTTTACCTACAAAACCCAATTTAGAGTGTGAGCGGAACACTGGTAACCTAAACCTGCTTCTTGGATTTCCTTTGACAACCATCTTTAGGCCTCATACTTCTTTCTTCAAGACCTTTCTCACCTCTATCCCTTCTTTTCCATTCTCGCCACCACCATCCTAGTTACTTTATGCCTGCACTATGGTCAGAGTCTCCTAACTCTTCTTCTCCCTTCGATCCATGTAAAATGAATTAATACTCCACAAATTCCACTTTAAGAATATCATATTCCTGCTTTAAAATTATTTAATGGCTCCCCACTGATCATAAAATATTTTCCTTATCTTTATATTCAAATCACTCCACAATCAAGATTTCTACTTTTAATTTCCTTGGCCACCTAAACTTCATGCCAATCCAACTAATATAATTACGAGGTGCTAAACATTCTGTTCCATAAAACTGAAATGCTATTACCTTTGAAATTCTTTGCCCAATATCTCCCCTTCTAAAATACTCTTTCTTATGAAAGGGTCTAGTTCAAATAGCACTTCTTACATGGAGCATACCTCCCTTCCAATTTAGTCTTTGAAATAAAGACAAGCCTTTCTTCCTTGGAATTCAAGAATCAGAATTCTAGGGCTGGACAGGACCATAAGACTATTTAGTATTGTGTTCTCATTTGGGAAATGAGAAAAAGGAGACTAAAACAGGTTAAATTCGGAAAGTAAGCTAGAAGTGGCATCTAGCGCTCTTACCATTCTGCCTCTGTGCTTCTCCCTAGAGTTGCTCCCAGGTATGTGGTACCTATATTGCTCTATATTAGGGTTAATTGTACTCTTGTAATCCTGATATAACCCTTTCAAAAAATTTAAGATGAAAAAATATCTTTCTGAATTTTCCAAGGACTTGAGTGCTCTGAATATAGGAATATAATAGAATGCTTTAAATATAAGAATATAAAAATAGCTGAATGAATGAATGAAATTAATGCAACTTACTAATACTTATTAGTCAAAACAGAGTGTTATTTCTGGATATGGAGCCCTAGTGATGCAGTGGTTAAGCGCTTGGCTGTTAACCAAAACATAGGCAGTTCATATCCCCAGCCACTCCTTGGAAA